ACTCCCTACCTTGACACGACATATACTACCACCCTCATCCAACGTGCTCCCACTCCTCCTCCCCCCATTCATACCCTCATCACCCGGTCCACCCTCACCCCCACAGCACCAACCCTCATTCCCTTATCCCCACACAACGTCCCTCATCACTTGCCACTCGCCTATGATTCTATGAACCCCTCACACCCACTACCCATCTCCTTATATCACCCCTTAATTACTAAAATATTACGTAGTATTAAATTATCTCAAAATATCTTTTTTATTATTAATTTTTAAATATTAACAATAGAAACTAATTTTTTAAAAAATTCCTTCTGTTAGACAATAATACTAATGTTGTCTGACGTGCGACAAAGTCCACTAAAATACTACAAGGGGATGTTTAGAAACACTATCATAACTAATACTACCAGAAGTAATATTGTTATTATTGCCTAACATCCCACTCAAGCTGAACTCTGGCTGAAGCAAGAGAAAGCTTGGACGCTCACTAGTAGTTGCTGACGTCTTTGAAGACGAGAGAAAGAGTTGACTTGCTCTTTTAGTTGCTGATGTCGAAGAAGAACATAGAAGGTTATTGGTGGTGTCTGTTTGATTGAAGATCCTTAACATTCTTTCTCTTTTTCTTGGATCCGGGCAATGCCCTATTTCCTTTTTGAAAGGTTGAGTTGTAGAAGTATTATATCCATTGCATCCATTTTTCTTCATTCTCCTTTTTTCTTCAGTCAAACAGGCACCTCCAGTAGTCTTCTCTATTCTTCTTCGACGTCAGCAGCTACTAGCGCACGTCAATCTTCTCTCTTCTTCTTCGACGTCAGTAGCTACCGACACAAAATATTGGTAGTGTTTGATTGTTAGTCAACTCCTTATTTCTATTTATGGTAAATGTTGTATTTTAGTTAGATACCATTCTCTATTTTTAGTTGTGTTAGGAGTCTCTCATATATATACTCTATCATTTATTTCATAATTCAATGAGCAATATTATTATTTCTATTGTTAATGAACCAATTCAACCAAAAGCTCAACCTTGTGGTTGTGGCCCAGGAAGAGTTATTTATATCATAACACGCCCCCTCACGTGCAGACGTAGTCTTTTTCGAGCCTTGCACGTGAAACTTTAATTTCTTAAAATTGGGTGGCGCTAAATTTCGAACCCGTGACCTCTTAGTCAACAAGACTATGATACCATGACAATGAACCAATTCAACCAAAAGCTCAATCTTGTAATTGTAAGTTAGAATATAAATAACTCTTCCTGGGCTACAACCAAAAGCTCAAGCTTGTGTTTGTGGGCCAGAGAGAGTTATTTATATTCTAACATCAATATTTCAAACTTTCTTACCCAACAACGAAAAATATGATTGGAAAATAATTTTCATTTTCATTTAAAAAATATTAATGTAAGAAAATATTTTCTCGCAACCAAACAGATATTAGTTACACAAAAAAGTATCCAACAAAATCTAATATTCTAATACTTCTAACAACAAATAAAACAAGACTATGCACCCAAAAATAAATACGGAGTACTTCGTACTTCGTATCATTGAGAATTGAGATTTGAGAGTGATGGTAATGTATCAATATTTAGATGAAACAAAACTAACGCATTTGAGACTGAGGTATCAATCTTTTAATGAAAGCAGAAGGTAAATAACCGCTGGGACAGTGGGGGAAAAAGTGGGCATAATTGATCGATCACATGATTTATGGCGGGCATTTCTTTCGAAACTTTCATAGTTAACTAATATTTTGTGTCAGTGTTAAATATCGACACATTTTACTTTTTAGTGTACCCCTTGCATAGTTGATTAGTTTATCATCTATCAATCTACTGCTTGTGCCGCTACTTAGGAGTCAGGACTCTGAGGTTAGAATTCAATTTTTAAATTAAAAAAAAATGATGAGTCCCATTCTCGAGGATCCCTCAAACCTGACTGGACAGTCACGGAGAGAGCAATTTTTTAATCAAATAAACTTTTTGTCCATGCATAACCCCTCCATCTCCAAATTAAATTCTCAAAATTTAAGAAAAATGATGAAAATAAAAATATAGCCCGTTATACCCGGTTAAAATTTACTTAGGAAAGTTATAAACAACATTTGCTTTTTCTTAATGAAAAGAAAGAAAGGTACTCCCTAAAATTTATTTTTAGATGGATAAAAGAAGTGAATTTGTAACCAAATAAATATTTTTTCCATCAATAAATATTTTTTTCCCGAGGGTTCCTCTTTCCTTTTTTTACTTTTCCAAAAAAATATTTTTTCCTCCAAAAAAAATATTTTTTCCATCAATTAAAATCAATTTTTTACTTATTTAATTATTAACTTACTTATCATATCATATCTATTCATTGTTAATCTATCAGCCACACCCTGTACACATTCTAAAAAGTAAGGGGGCTATAAAATACACTAACCTGAAAGGCTTAAACTTATAAAAAAAAATTAATGTAGGACAAGTTGAGGGTTTATTAATCAAATAAAATAATATTGTGAAAATATTTTTTAATTCTAATAAAATTACTTCTTTATCAATATGTAATATATTTAATTAGCAGTTAAAGTTTTTCAATTTTTACTGTAAAATTTAAAATAGAACAAATACTCAAGAACGAAAGCAGCATTTGAAACGTAGGTAAAAAAAGTACATTTTGAATTTTGATCGAGTGGTGGACAAGAAAACATTTTTACAGTACAAAAGTGAAGTAAAAACAAATTAAAAGAGTGTTTTTTAAACTCAGCAGTCTCCCCCCACGGCCCCACACTAATATGAACCCACCATCACATTAATCCCAAAAAAACCGGCCCCACCATCCTTTCACTTTTTCACCCAAAAACAAAACCAGAAAAAAAGAAGAATTCCAAAGAAACCTTTCAAAATTCCCTGCGAGATTTTGAAATGATGAAATGGAAAAATGACAGAGCTTCTTCATCCCATCAATCTCTGATCACCCATGTCTTTCCAGTTTCTTGGCTTTCTAAGTTCAAGAAGAAGAAGCGAGATTCGATTCCCCCAACTCCATTGATGCCAGAAAGAAGGTTTTCCAGCAGAGGGGATTGTCCTGATCATTACTGCAATTCCAGTTTTAATGGGAAAACTCCAAGAAGAGAAGAACCCAAGAAGGACCCAGAGTTTAAAAAACTGAAGAGAAGAGATTCTTCAGAGGAAAGGGAATCTTCAGTTCATAATGTGTTTCATCAAGAATGTTCCCAGAAGAAGAAGAAGAGAAGAAGAAGAAGAAAACAGAGGGTTAAATTGGGAGTCCATTATTCTCCAAGAAATGAGTGCAAAATCAAATCTTTGGAGGAAACCAAGAAGGGGAAGATGAAGAATGTGGAGAGGAAAGGGAAAAATAACAAAACTGGAAGCTTTGAGAGATTTGCAATGGTGAAGAGTTCATTTGATCCAGAGCAAGACTTCAAAGATTCAATGGCTGAGATGATCACAAAGATGGGGATCAAAAGCCCAGAAGATCTGGAAGAGCTTTTGGCTTGTTACTTGACATTGAACTGTGATCATCACCATCACATCATCATCAAGGCCTTCAGAGAGGTATGGTTTCAGCTGAACCAAGACTATTCTGGGTGAACATTTCAAAAGAAAAACAAGAAGACGAAGAAGAAGAAGATGATGATGATGATAATGATGAGTATTGTTGGTGATGAGAATGCTACACAACAGGTTTCAAACAGATTGATTAAATCTTGTAAATAGATCCATGTTTGGTGTTGTCTAGCTACTTCCAAGGCCATTATAGATTCCCAAGTACTGAAGGATTGTGTTATGTTCCCTAAATTAGGTCCTTAAAGATTGGTCACTCTATTTTTGCAGTGGGTTTATAACACTTTCCAATTTATCATGATAATCAACCATTGGATTGCGTTTATTGACAATGTAATATAAATTTTAATTTCGTGGTGACAATGTTTATTGACAACGTGTCTTTCGAATTCAACATTTGAACATATACTCTCACGATTTACTATGAACAATATGTTTTTATAATGACAAAGGGTCAATGTACTTTTTTGTTGACGGAATGTGGGTTGAGCCACTTTGAACACCGGAGCTTACCACGATGCAAGAACCCTCAACAAGTCATGTATCAATTATAGGGAACCTAAGGGTTTCTTCAAATAATTTTTTAGGTGTCAATTGTAGAGAACCAAGCCTTGATTTACAATAGAGGAGCTTATTAGTGTGAACACTTATACAAATCAAAATCAATGTGAATACATACAAATGGTTGCTACAAGACAATGACGCATTATAATTTAATACAAATGAGCAGACATTATTCATTTATGATGAAAGTGGTTGTAGCTTAATTTTAACTTCAAAACAAGAATTTTTTGAAAAAAATGAAATCTAAAGTTGAGACAAAAAAAAATCACCTCGTCCCATAAAATCTTCTTTGGTTGCCTTCTATAGAATTTAAGAAATATGTTAAGAAATAAAAATTTCTCTCTCAATCCCAAATTAAATTGTCTCTTTACTATTAAGAGGATCAAACTTCACATTATTTTTCTATTTTCATTAGTCATTTGATAAAATAATATGATAATATTACAACTAATTTTGAAGATCTTTTGATGTGATTTTTAAATATGTAATTTTTATTTTTTAATTCTATTCTATTTTTCATATGAAATGATTTAAAAATAACTTCAATCAAATATCATAGAGTGCAACAAGCAATTTAAATTGGTATGGAAGGAGTGCCTAATAATTAGAATAAAACTAGATTATTTGCAAAATTTTCTCTCGCCATTTATGAATATTGTCAAATGACTTATCTTTCATTCAAGTAATTTCACTTCCACAAAAGAATATTTAGCTTATAAACAATTTATAAGTTAAAAATTACTTATCAGCAATAAACCAATAAGCAGGAGCACAAAAACACCCCTAATTCTTATAGAAGCCTAATTTCACAAACAAAAGGAGTATTACATATCAAGTAAGCAATTATAATGAAATGGATGCCAATGTACACATCTATAATTTCTTCACAATTATCAATAAAAAAGACTTCATCCAAATTGAGTCCTTCTTGTATGTACTGTACACAATTGAGTACCCTATTTACATTCCATTGAAATAAACACAAGAAACATACATCTGAATAAGGAATTGAGAATAAGGACAGAGCTTATAAGTTAAAGCTTACGATATAAATCTGCAAGTGCACGGTAAAGGGTGGCGGCAGCAGGTGGTCGGGGCCATGAGCCCAGCAGAATATCTGCAGCGCTTATTGACTGACTGCCGTAGAATCTTGAGTTTTCTCGGCAACGGGTTGTCACAACACTCCCTTCCAGAGAAACTCCTACAAACGCGCCTGCAACGAGAATTTTATAAACAAAAAAAAAACTTAGTAGAAAAACATTCTTGGTCCACATATGATTATCAAATTTAATGCAAATTGAGCATTATTTTCTAGATAATGGATCGTGTAAGAAATTGCATATTACTCCCTCCGGTCCTAAAAATGTTTCCTGTTTTGACTTTTTTGGTCAAACGGTAACACACTTTTTTTGGTCGATTTCGAGAATACGATTTTCAGAGATTATCAACTGATTGATTCTTCAGAATTGTCCAAAAGCAGAAACCAAACTAAACCAATTGAGACCTTAGTTTTGGTAGATCGTAAAAATATGTAACATCATGTACTCCCTCCATCCCTTAAAGAACATGACAGTTTGACTTCATGAAGTTTTAGAAAACTGTTGAAACTAACATTTGGTTAAAAAGTGAAAACTATGTGGTTGAAATTTATTTAGAAGATAGAGAAATGACAAGAGCCACATATTAATTTCCCAAAAGGGAAAATGGAGAAGTAAGAAGTTTATTTCGAGATAGATGAAATAGGAAAGCATAAAGTTCTTTTAGTGACGGAGGGAGCATATATAAAATATGAGAATATTCTATTCCTTATTCTTAGTGTAAATTTACACCACACATACATTTGGTTACATTTCATTATGTATTACCAACCTAGATTTAACTTCTTTTTTTTCAGCTTGATTTTACTCCATTGGTTAATTGCAGACTGAAAAAAAATACTTTTTGTATGTTACAAACAGTAAAAAACAAACCTTTACTGCAGCTATATGTATAGCAGGCAGAATAGCCACCAGTGCCAGCACGCAAATCAGCTTCAGCAGTCCGTCCAACAACTCCCGCGGCTGCACTCAATCCTGCTCCAATTGAAACGTGTGCTTCACCACTAAAAGTCCTCACAACATCTTTGGTTCTCAGAACAATTATGAAATCAGTGAGCTCTCCTCCAACCTGCAAAATGCACTAGAAAAAATCATATCATCGCTAGAAGCTAGAACACAGATATGGAACACTTGAGAGAAACTCTGCAATGACTGGTTGAACATTATTGTCGAAGTACTATTTTTTCAATAAAAGAAAATCCAAGTGAAATGGATACACATGCTGAATTAGTGATCGCCAGAACCAACAACCACTGACTTTAAGAAGCATCCATACGAGATTGAATGTTGAAAATAAGCTATGATTCTTGAGAACCAAAATTAGCATGAATATTTGACAGCAAGTATTGGTCATCATACAAAACATCCTAAAAATAGATGTAGCAGTGGTTCCCAATAAAAGCATGGCTCGTTACTTAACCTGAGCACCCCATCCCACACCAAAAGAAGAAATGGCTGAGGGAGGAGACCACGAGCCATCTTCTCTGCGAGCAACAACCAATCCAGTTCCAATGTTATAAGTAACCACAACTCCAACTTTTGCTACAGTGAGTATTGCAAGACCTTGAGCACCTCGAAGAATATATTCTGGAATTCTCCTCTCATGCCTCAAAGAACCTACCTGGAATTTTAGAAAATCAGAGTGGTTGATACACACATGTTGGGCTAGGCCCACTATGTTATTAGGCTTATGGTTTCCTAGTCTTATTCGACAATATTCAAAAGTTTGCAAAGAACCAGCATGTCAATTTAGTCAGGAACAATTTGTTAGTACGCCATGCTTATTGATGCAATATGTATCATGTATTCTCACAAATGTTTTTGTGGGGTGGTCTTACTTTGTAAAGCCTAAAGAGATGCCTACAAGCTTAACCATGTGAATAATTCAAAAATAAGTGGTGAGAATGTATATTCCCATGTTAGAAACATAGAACATCATTAATGGGTTGAAAAAATTAATAATAAGGTTAGAGCATAACAAAATTTATATGATTAGTAATGGGAAGACCTAGAAGATGCAATTCGTCCTCAATATACCTATTTCCAAAGTCCATACCTTATTATAACTCCGAAGTATGTTGGTAGCCTTGTAAATTTCATACTCCATTGACTGTCCCCATGGAAAATTTATCCATGATCTCAAAGTGCTGAGATCTGTCAAATCATGGGTTGGCAACTGTGCAGCACGGCTAACTTGATCCATTAAGTATGCCTGAACAGGCTCAAGACGTATGGAACACACATCACATACTCTCTTTGGTTCTTCCATGTGGAATTTATCTGGCAACAAACTCCTTCCTTTTGTACAGTCACTGCAAAATATCCCCCCACAAAAACGACAGTGATGCCTGCTACACATGATGGGGTGGAACCGAACACTACATAGCATACAGGAAGAAGCTGCACTATCAGGAAGCCATTTGGGTGGTTCTGCCTCAAGAAGTTCTCTGGTAGTACCAAAATTAGCCTCTGTAAGAGTTTGAGCCATCTCTTTCCAAGCCTGCTCCACAATGTGGCCTGAGATCCATGAAAGGTTATGGATATCACCCAAGGTTAAAGCGCTCACTTTCCCCCTAGCTACCATCAACATTTCCACTAGGACATCCCACATGGTCAACTCTTTATCTTCTCCCAAGTACTGGAAGGCACCTGTATCTTCTACGGGAAAGTATTCCCCTTTTGAGCAGAAGCCTCTAGCCCACTCTTCATGGTCACTCTCTGACATTGGAGGAACAGAAACAGGTATCCATATTCCAGTTTCGCCATATAGTGGTGCATCATAAGAAAAGTACTTGCACTGTTTTAGAGGAAGTTTGCCACAATTGTCTTCTACGGTGCTTGTATATGGCAGTGTATAAGAATCTTTTTCTCCATTTTCCTCCGTGCACATACTGTGAGCCAAATTGGCATCACATGTTTCAGTTCTAGAAACTGTGTTATTCAGGAGTCCTTTCTTGGGACTCTTCAGTGCCCAGCAAGTAGGCAGTTCTATCTCAGAAGTTACAGGCTTGACTGGGTGATGGGACAGAAAAGTGGCATTCTGATGCAAATGTTCAGAAGCATATTCTTTGCTTTTGAGCGCTTGGCAGATGTCATTCTTCCTTTCATGTTTTACTAGAGTGTTCAGATGAGATGATACAGAATTAGTCTCTTTGGACTCTTGTTCTCCATTCTCAAAAGAAGAAATTTTGCCACACTTCTCCTCAGCCGGCTCAGGGTCCTGAAGAGATATATTACCAACAAAAGTTTTGGCTTTGACGATTTCTTGACTCACAGGTCCTTCCGGCTCAGGAAAACCTAACCTTATATCTTGAGGTAATTCCCTTTGGAATTCTTCTTGCATTCTCATTTGTCAAACTATGGCACAAAAACTGGACTCCGGCCACAGAAGCCCAACTCCTTTTCCACTTGAAGCCTCAAGAAATCCTATGACCAGCATAACACCTATATGATCTCTCAAGAACTGTTTCAATTTAGATATGAATATTCTACTTTTTACACCAAGAATGGTGAAATCTTTCAGTTGGAAGCAAAACTATTTCACCACATGAACAGGCAAGTGCAGAAAAAACCTCGAAAGCATCGAAAAATTGTTAGCAAGCAAGCAAATCTAATCATATCATAGAGCATGTTTGGCACACAAATGATTTGGGACTTCTAACTTTCTACAATATAAAAATCTTGCAAAGCTCGTAGCTGTGCATTTGCCGTTTAGTGTATTATTTGAGAAGTCTCGCACTTTTAAAAATCTCGAATGGCTTCGAGTTTTATAGCCTTCTTTGTTTCAGTCATGATGTCTGGAACCTTATAAAAAATTAGATACCACAACAAAACCATGTGTAATCCTAAGTACCTTGGGTTCCGAGAACAATGATACTCAACCTTATAAAAAAAGAGAGGTTGGCATTAAACCCTTGATGTGTTGATGCATTTATTACAACAACAAAAATCATAAAAAGAAGCAAAGGAAGTTAAGTGTGTTAATTTAATACTCCCTCTGTCCCGTATTAATGTTCCACAATTGACCTAGCACGGAGATTAAGAAAAGTAAAATTGTGTGGATGAAAGTGATGCAAAGGAGAGAGAAATGATATGTCACAAAAAATTTGCCTAATATAGTAATATGAAAAGTAGAACCTTATTTTGGGACGGACGAAAAAGGCATTGCGGAACAATATTACGGGGCAAAGGGAGTATAATTCATCATTTAGCCAAAGTTAACATGTTGTCGAAAATTACTCTATTTGATAATATTTGTAAATTCTTAGATCGAAACCTAGATACGAAGTGAAATGGGTTTACCAGTATTTTGAACCCAGTAATTAGATCTGTTTTTAGAAACATTTTTTTCATCAATTTATCGAACAGACCCAAATTGTTTGTCATCTAGCTTTTTCAAATCCACGATGCGTGAATGTGCAGTAACACTGAAATAATGTGGAGATGGAATTGAGCAGAGTAATGCAGAAGACTAACTATAACAATATTTATAAAGATTTTATTGTTATGAATAAAAAAAATTCAAGCAGTTTTGAAATTTATTCCAAGTTCCCAACCCAAAATATTTAAGATGTAAACACAGCTCTTGCTCTAACTATATACGTATTGAGCTAAAAATGTTCCCTTTTCTACCCCACCAATCCAGCTCGTTCTTAAAATTTTCTTCTGCCTAAAAACTTTAAAAAAGGAAGATTTACTTATGTAATAGACAATTTCAAAAACCAAAAAAAAACTTATACAAGTGACCCAAAAAAAGCACAGATTAGAAAAAACCTGTAAATATTAAGAAAATCGCAAATTCAAAAAACAATAACAAAGCAAATACTAATTTGAAAAGTGAAAATATGATCTGACGAACGGGGGTTTCATACACATATTTGAAAATAAACAGGATCAATTAAACAGAAGAGGGTTTCCAATCTGGAGACTGAAATTTTGACAATAAACTCATTAATGATAAAAGCATCAAGTAATTGTGCTCATATCTGGATGATGGAAAGAATACTTAATTCGTTGTTTGGATATTTGATATGGTTGGGAATTGAAGCGTGGAAATGAGAAGTACCTGAGGCTGAGAAAGTCGGATGGAAGCAAGAGCTATGAATTGTCACAGCGCGGAGGCCAATCTTTTCGGGGGTTTGGACACCCTTTCCTGTGGGATGAAACCGGAAGGTTGTTCGGGCGTGTTTATGGTTCGAGCCTATAGCCCGTTTCAGAGCCGGCCCTTGTGTGTGATTTAAGGAAGTGCCTTTTGCACTGTGTTTGGTTTAAGGATTTTGAAAGAAAAAGAAAAGAAAATGATTTTCTCTCATTTTTCTCACCAAAATGGAAGGAATTTGATTTTTCCTTCTCTTAATATATTTTGTTTTCTCATTTCATTTTCCTTCAACTTTTCTTTTCTTTTCCTCTCTATCCAAACAAAAAAAACTATTTTCCATCTCATTTTCTTTTCTTTTCCATTTCAAATTCCTTGAACCAAACATATTGTTAGGGTTCTTTTTAAAAAGTGATTAAGAATAATAAGGAGTCATTAAAACACAAAAAAGTAATATGAGATGTGACGAATGAGATATGAGAAAGTAGGATTAAAGAGAGATATTTTAGTCCATTCTGGAGAAATTTAAATATTTTATGGTACGGGTAAGATTAGGAAGTTGAAATGTTAGGACGGGAGGAGTAGAAAAAATTATATGTGAAGTCTAATGAGTGACGATTCGTCTATCTGAGAAAATTACATATTTATATGTTCATGATCCAATATAATCAGATTTGGATTGACCCAACGCGTTATGACATCTAGTTTTCGAATATTTAAATTTATACTAGCACTCGCATTTCGAATTCAAAAATAACAAAAAAACAAAATACATGTATAAAACATCCTAGAATATTTTATTGTGAATTTTTTTTTTTTTCTAGATATTTATATATATTTAACAATATTATGAGTAATAAATATGTAACATGTTTGATAGTTGTGGGATAACTATGTGATATCATTGAAACTTTGTTTTAAAATACCATTATAAGTTTATACACTAAAAATGAATAACAAGAAATAAAATAAAAACATAACCTTATTTTTATTATATTATATATTTTGTGTATTGAAATACATGATTTTGAAAAATTCTTACATAGGCGGGTAAGTAGGGTCAAGTTCGGGTTTTACTCAATTTTAGTCATTTCGAGTTCGGTCAACAAAACTTTTATTCGAAGTCGAGTATTTTTGGGTCAGTCTCGTGTAAAAAATAGATCGGGTCAATTTTCCCCTGATCTAATTTGTACTAACTCCGTCTAAAGATATTTATCTAGTTTTAACTCTTATAAAAAAGATGATAAATTTTAACTATCAATTAAATAAAATTTATATTTAACATTGACACAAGAATAATATTATCAGATTTATCTTGTAAATTACTTTCAAAATATTATTATATCTAATTAATATATCATATAATTTTTATTAAATTATATGTCAAAGATCGATCCTAGTTGATTGTAAAAAATCAAAATTAGAAAAATGCACTGACAGGAAAGGATTATATATATTATTAGTCACATACGAAATATAGTAGTGAGTACTCTCTAATTCTCGAGTATTTGTTTAATTTGATTTTTTTACTTAAATAAGACAGATTTTGATTATTAATAAAGTAAAATTGTATTAATAATAGTTCAGATTTTTTTTATTATGTTTGTATAGCAAAAAACTATCAAAACCTTAATTTAGTATTTTATTGTATTAATTTGCAAAACAAATTTAATGTAATTGATGATTAATGTTCTTCCACTTTAACATAAAAAATTTAAATTGAAGAGTACTTTTTTGGTGCACCTTGGGTGCATACTATTTTTGTAGTCCTTCTCACATAAAAAACTTTTTTTAATTTTTTAATAAAAAAATAGATTCTTATTTAAGTAATAAGAAAATATTTATTTTGCTAATACGTAGGTCCATTGTGGACTAAAGGTCCACCATATAATTTTTCTAGATAAGAGTAAAAAGTATGAAAACACTAAAATATTAGTCCTAAATCCCTTAAGACAAAAATATGAGTTTAATTGCAGTGTGGTTTAATAGTGTTATCAATATGGTGAAGAAGTTATGATAATATGACATGACAGTGTGATATGTCAAACACCAGCGATTGGCGATGACACTCAGGTGGCCAGTGGCGACGTATGATATGCCAATATGGTGAGTGTGGAAGTTTAACAATGATAGTATGGACTACTATTTTGGTCTGATATTAAGAAACTTTGGACTACTACTTTGGTGTCCTCATAGAATTTTAAGATTGGGAAAGAGATTACTCGATTGGGCCATAAGACACTTTAGTTAAACCACTTTAAAAGATTGAATGCAATCGATTATTTAGTTCAACTCAGAAGCTTATATACCGATTACTTTTCTCACCAACTTTCGATGTGGGATAGAGTCTAACTCTAACATAATAGAATTTAGGACGTGGTATAGAGTTATTGGACTAAGTTATTAAACACCTGGGTTGAACTACATTAAAAGATTGAATCCAAATGATTATTTAGTTCAATTCAGGAGCTTAAATACCGATTATTTTTTCTTTCCAGCTTTTGATGCGGGATAGACTCTAGCAGTCTAGAACTTCTCCTCAAGTGGAGAATGGAGCGATTTTGAATCTAACCGGTTGACCACTTACGCGCAAATGGATTCCCATCTCTTGATCTTTTTTTGAGCCAACACCTAAAGATCTATGAGTCGATGAGAAGGGTTTCCATGATGATATGGTTGGATTGGGTTAAACCTTCAAGGCGCGTGATCCATGAGAAGGCTTTCCTAAAAGTTTCATGTCTATTCTATTATAATTTATAAGCAGTAACAAGGGTTTCAAGATAGAACTTTTAGGACACAACGAAAGAGACAAAATTGTTTGGTTGCTTTACGAAACAATTTGCTAATTTACTTTAACGAGACTTATCTCGAGACAAAGAGGACAAAAATATAGAAAAATAATTAATACTCCTTCCGTCCGGAAATGATGTTCCCATTATACTCTTTTTTTCATCTAGAAATGAAGTTCCCATTCTACCTTTTTTCTCTATTCTTCCAAAATTACTCTCATCTTCCTTCTTTTCCTTCTTTTCATCCTTTCTTTTTTCCTTCCTACCTTTCCTTCTTCCGCCAATTTTTCCCCTTCCTTTCTTCCTTTCTTTCCTTCTTTCTTTCCTCCTCTTCTTCTACCTCCTTCTCTTCTCTCCTCCTCTTCCTCCTTCTCTTCTCTTTCTCCCCTGTTTTCTTTCTTCTTCTTTATCCCCCCTTCTTCTTTCTCCTCCACCTTTCTTCTAAATCTTTGTATAGCAGTGACAGTGGCGGCGCTGGTGAAGGCGGCGGCGGCAGTAGCGGCGATGGTGAGTCTAGATCTGCACTTCTCCTTTTCTTCCCCTTTATTCTTTCTTTTAGATCTATCTTTTATATCTGTGCCATGGTGACGGCTATAATGGGGCTGTGGCGGCAATGGTTGGGTAGACGGCGGTGGTCGTGGTAGATCTGTGTCTTTATCTTCGACGGAGATCCTCCTCTTTCATCCACTTTTTTCTTTCTTTCCCTTTTCTCTCTCCAGCATTGTTTGCGGCTGCGGGAGATGGAGGTGGGGGCTGACAGAGATGATGGGGCTGACGACGACGGTGGGAAGTGGGATGGTAGTGGGCTGGCGGCGGAGGTGGGAGGTGGGGCTGACGGCGGTGGGTGTCACTGGAGGTGGGCATGGGTGTCACTGGAGGTGGCCAGGCTGGCAGTGGGGGTGTTAGTGGGAGGTGGGCTGTGGTGAGGCTCAAAGTGCAAGGGCATTTTAGTCCTTTCAAGCCATTAGTCAAACCCTTTTAAAAATGAAGAAAAGTTAAAATGGGAACGTCATTCCCAGACAGAGGGAGTAATAAATTATTCACGTAGACATTATCATTAGTTAATATTTTATAATCATAGAATAAACATAATAAATAAATATATTATTTCTTAATTATTCTAGACCATCAATGAAATAATAATGAATAATAAATTGTTCTTGTATATACTATTATTCATTAATATTTCATCATCATAGAATAATCACTCAAGAAATAAATAATTATTTCTTCATTATTCTAGATAATTAATAAAATCATAATTAATCATATATTATTTTTTCTGACATTTTCCCCCATTTTCTCACATCGTGACAAGGGCTCTATTTATAGAAAATGATATGCTCCTTTATAAAGGATCATGTCTCTTTTGTAAGAGACACACCCATTTATTTTAAAAACTTCCAATTTAAATTTAAAATAAATATTCAAGAGTTATGTCATTTAAGAATGAACATGTCTCTTCAAAGGGTTGTGCCCATTTATTTAAAATTCAATTTTGAATTCTCCTCTATTTAATTTATTTTGAATTAAAAATTACATAATTATTGCCACAAGACAAATTTCAAAAACCCATGCATAATGAAAGTGTCACACACATTGAACTTTGACTTAGTGTAATACACTTTACAATATTTCAGATCTTAGTAGTAGAATACGCTTTGAACTATGTAATTGCTTAGAAATATTGAAGATATTACATGCAAAAATTTTTCTTAAAGTACAATACTAACTTGACACCTTTTGTTCAAACATGTGTCCATATCCATTCGTGAACATGACCAAGTCCAGCCCCTAATAACTTAGCTTGGCAAAGCGGCCACTGCACACTTCATGTTCATATAGGCAGATCTTTTAAGTTATATGTTCTGCAATCGTAACACTTTGTCAAAAGATCTATCAAGATATTCATCAACCCCTTTTTACGTTGCAGTACCAAACACTATCTCGGGATGATATTTAGCATTTAGTGTTTGTAATTGGGAGAACTCCCCAAAATAGGAGTAAAAAGCTATGAAAAATACGAAAATAGGAGTCATAATTTTTATAAGACCAATATAGAAACTCACACTGCCATTGTTACACTGCCACACTCACAACATTCTGACATTATAACTGCCACACTATCACCGTCATACTTCTTTAATTTCTGAATACATTAAAGAACATGTGCTCTACATTTTTATCTTTTTTAATTTTCTTAAATTCTGTAAAGTTAAACTAAGACAATAAATTACGGGGAGAGTATATACTCCCTCCCGGAAAACTTTTTTGATTTTTACTTTTGTGAAGAGAAGATATAGAAGTTTGACCAAGACGAAATGACGACAATTGAAACAAGCTAACTTGGGCTTGAGAAATATCAAAACGGGTAGAGCGTAGAAGTTAGTTGAGGTACTTCGTTCAAATTTAAGAAAAATAAAGATAATTGGGTCTATTTAGACAAAATTGAAATATTTTATGAAATGGATAAGAAGTGAAAGTTGAAATGTTTTAAAAGACGGAGGAAGTATATGATTGGGCGGCCTCTCTAACCCAATGCAAAAATAAATGCCCAAGACAAGAAGCAATAACCTTAGAAGAATAAGAAGGTATGCTATAGAAAACGGTAGACATGCTTTTCTTCACAAGTTTGTATACTACTCCCTTGTCCCAAAAAGAAGGTTACGTTTCATTTTTTGCGCATCCATAAAATACTTCTATATTGTCTTACACTTCAAAAAAAACTTTCAAAACGACTGCTACCCACAATAATGGATAAATATAGTAAATTTTATGCACTTTAGATGTAGGTAGAATCTTCTTTCGGGATGCGCAAAAAAGGAAATGTGACTTTCTTTTCGGAACGGAGGGAGTACATTTTATTATACAAAAAATTGCTGCTGGGTACCTCTAATTTTGTACTAATAACTCGCAGCTCCCATTGTTTTTCAAAATATATTCCAAAGTACATTAAGATATTCGAAAACTGACTCCGGGGTAACAATCCGTCATTCTCTCCATTAATATTCCTTCTCCGTTATCCTCTTCTTCTTCTTCTTCTTTTCTTCGTTTCTTCGTTTCTTCTTCTTTTCTTCTTTTCTTCTTCTTCTTCTTTTCTTCTTCTTCTTTTCTTCTCTTCTTCTTCTTCTTCTTCTTCTTTTCTTCTTCTTTCTCCTGCCTTCCAGTGACCTCCATTCCTCACCCCCACCCCCATTTTTTTTCTTCTTTTACCTTTTGTTTTGTTTTTTTCTTCTTCTTCTATTATACTCCCTCCGTTCTACAAAACACTTCCGTTTTAATTTTTTGCGTAGCCCATAAAATATTTCTATCCCACCTAAAATGTCTAAAATACCCCTAAAACAACTTCTAACCGCAATAAACTACATAGTGAGGTATATTTTAGATAGGCTAAAATCCACCATTGGTCCTTCAACTTTATCAGTTGTGCACGATTGGTCCTTCAAGTTTCAAAAGTCCATAAATAGTCCTTCAACTTTATGAGTTCTGCATCATTGGTCCTTCAAGTTTAAAAAGTCCATAAATAGTCCTTCAGGTACATGTCAGCCATCCAGATGAAGTCCTTTTGACAGTAAATATTAAAAGTTAAACGAAATACTAGTTTCATTTAATACAAGTAAATTCTACTAGGTACGACTACTCCGTATTATATGGGGCTAGTATTCCATTTAGCTTTTAACCCTTACTGTCAAAAGGAACTCATCTGTAGGACTGACGTGTATTTGAAGAATTACTTATGCACTTTTAAAACTTGAATGATCAATCGTGCATAACTCATAAAGTTGAAGGACTATTTATGCACTTTTAAAACTTGAAGGGCCAATCGTGCACAATTGATAAAGTTGAAGGACCAATGGAGGAGTTTAGCCATTTTAGATATTTTAGGTGGGAGTAAAAGCGTTTAATGAGGTGCGCAAAAATTTAGGGCGGAAGGGTTTTAAGGAACGGAGGGAGTAATTATTATTATTTGTTATTAATTATTATAATTACTTCATAATTATTATTTTCTTATTCTATTATTATTATTAATTTTTTAATTTATTATTATTACTATTATTATTAAAAATTAATTGTTAGTTTTACCACTCTTTTCTATAAAAACACTAATTGTTATTTAGAAAAATAGCACTTATTATAAAATAACACTTATTATTAACAAGAGGACTTGAGAAAAGAATAAGATGAATAAGTACCTCTGGATTTTTGTAAAGATAATATGAAACAATAAAAATAGTGTTAAATTTAATATTATTATTACTAAAATTAATTTTCAATTGACGCTTTAGAGTAGTAAAACTAATAAAAAAAGTTAGAGTAGTAAAAATACTAATTAAATAAAATAATAATAATAAATAGTTATTATAAAAACTAAAAATAATAAAATAACAATACCTAATAAAATATGAAGTAATAATAATAACTAGCGATATTTTTATAAAACAGTACAGAAGTAAAATTACTAATCAATTGCTTAAAATAAATAATAGTATTAATAATAAGTTTTATTTTATAATAAGTGCTATTTTCTTAATAACAATTAGTGTTTTTATAGAAAAGAGTGGTAAAACTAACAATTAATTTTTAATAATAATAGTAATAATAATAAATTAAAAAATTAATAATAATAATAATAATAGAATAAGAAAATAATAATTACTACGTATGAAGTAATTATAATAAATAATACTCCCTCCGTTCTCAAAAATACTTTCTTTTTCATTTTTTCACTTCCAACAAAACACTTCCCTTTTCTATTAAAAAATCACTTTTACCCTTACTTTTTCATACGCTACCTATCACATCATACTTTTTCTCAATCTATCCATCACATCTTACTTTTACCCATCACATCAGGGGTAAAATTGGAAATCTACTACTCCCTCTGTTCCACAAAACCCTTCCAGTTTTGACTTTGGGGAAAAATAAAGAAAGTGTAATTTTGGTTGACTTTCCAATTTTTCCCCTGATGTGATGGGAAAAAGTAAGATGTGATAGTTTGGTTATTAGTGAAAAAGTATGATGTGATAGGTATGGTATGAAAAAGTAGGGGTAAAAGTGGTTTTTTTAATAGAAAGTGGAAGTATTTTGTGAAAAACAAAAAAAACGAAAGAAAAAGAGTTTTGTGGAACGGAGGTAGTATAATTTAACATTTCCTAATTTTTGCCCAAATCAAAATGGGAAGTGTTTTTGCAAACGGAGGGAGTAACAAATAATAATAATTACTCCCTTCGTCCTATAACTATCTTCCCGTTGCGCAAAACGAAGAAAAATCCCAAGTTTTTTTAATCTATTTTATTTAAATATTGGTATAGAAATAAAAAATAAACATACTCCCTCCGTCCCAAAAAGTCTTTCTTGTTTCATTTTTTGCGCATCTCATAAAAGACTTCTATCTCGACTTGAATGCCAAAAAAAAATTCAAAATAACTTCTACCCACAATAAAGAAGAAATATTGTAAATTTTAGGCATTTTAGATGTCGGTAGAAGTGTTTTATAGGATGCGCAAAAAATGAAACAAGAAAGACTTTTTGGGATGGAGGGAGTACACATTTAAAAACTACATCAAAAGTTCAAAAAAACAAGTGACAAAAATATTTTATTTTATCATATAGACTATGAAAAAACACAAATAAATATAAATTTCCGTGAAGTTGGAATAGTATTCTGGGAAGAAAGTTTTAGGACGGATGGAGTATAATAGAAGAAGAAGAAAAACAAAACAAATGGTAAAAGAAAAAAAACGGGGGTGGGGGAGGAATGGAGGTCACACTGGAAGGCAAGAGAAAGAAGAAGAAAAGAAGAAGAAGAAGAAGAAGAAGAAGAAGAAGAAGAAGAAGAAAAGAAGAAGAAGAAGAAAAGAAGAAAAGAAGAAGAAGAAGAAGAAGAGGATAACGGATAAGGAATATTAACGGAGAGAATGACAGATTGTCACCCCGGAGTTAGTTTTCAAATATCTTAAGGTACTTCGTAGTATATTTTGAAAAACAATGGGACCTGCGAGTTCTTAGTACAAAATAGGGGGTACCCAGCAAGAATTTTTTTTTTTTGTTTTATTATATGTGTCGTGTAGTTACGTATGCACAATGTATTTATTTGGTTACGTTGTCTACATGATTTCTTCGACCTTCTTTCATACTTATTCCTCCTCTCTCAACCCAAAATTATAAAGTAACCAATCTATACAAATGAGCATGCTAAGAATAATGGACGACGACGATGGCATAAATTATGACTACTTTTGGTGCTACCAATGCCATAGATATGTGAGAATACTCTCATCTTTGTCCTCTCACGAATTCATCTTATGCCCTCGTTGTTTCCACAGGTTCCCCTCAGAGATTCAAAGAAATAATTATAGTAATAATGGTAGAGCTGAAAGAACCCCAAGAATTCTTGTCGATTTCACGCCACTTGATCCATTTCTTCTCCAAGCTCTTCTCTTTCTGCAACTCCGTCCTCCGAGCGCGGGGCCGGGATGGCACCACGATCAAGAAACGCAGACGCCGTTAATGCAGACACCGCTGAGGGAGGCGGGCCCGGGCGGTCTGGAACGACGACTGATAGAGGAAATAACACAGAACGACCGTCCGGGTCCGCCTCCGTTGGACGAATCTTCAATCCGTGCAATACCCGCTGTGAGAGTCTCGGACTCTCATCTGGCAAACGGGGCAACGAGGAGCTGCCCCGTTTGCATGGAAGAGTTTGAGGTGGGCGGGGAAGCGAGGGTTTTGCCCCCCTGCAAGCATATTTATCACAGTGATTGCATTGTTCCGTGGCTGAGGCTCCACGACTCCTGTCCCGTTTGTCGACAGGAGGTGAGTATCGGGATCGGTGGTGATGGTGGCGCGGAGGAGGTGGAGAGGAGGAGGAGGAGGCCAAGATGGAGGGAGCTTGGAGCTTCTTTGTGGCCTTTTCAAGCAAGGCATAGAAGAGTTAACCCACGTGCTGACTTTGATCATCCCAATATTGAAACTTCTGCTCCAGGTAATTTATGGAAATTTTACTCCGTTCCCATCTTGTGCTTGGGTGCAAACTCAAGTCCCTCACCGGAATGTAAAAGAGAGATTGACTCATACACTATTTAATATTTTAATCAAAATCCATGGATAAAAAATTATTTTAGGGAGTAATTCATATATGGTCTTGAGATCTACATTAGATATAGACTTTTTCATTTTGCCAATTTTTTTTTATTTTTTAAATACACTAAAATTCATAAAATAAATATAGACCTTAATTCCACGTAAGTATTTACTCCCTCCGTTCCACAAAATCATTCCCATTTTGACTTTGGGCAAAAATAAGGAAAGTGTATTTTTGTTGACTTTCCAATTTTGCCCCTGATGTGATGTAAAAAAGTAAGATGTCAATTAGTGAAAAAGTATGATGTGATAGGTAGGGTATGAAAAAGTAGGAGTAAAAATGGTTTTTTAATAGAAAGTGGAAGTGTTTTGTGAAAAACAAAAAAAAGGAAATGGGAAAGGTTTTGTGGAACGGAGGAAGTATTTGTTTTAAGAGGAACAGGAAAGTAAACCCATGTTTTCAAAAAAAAGAAGAAAGTAAACCCATAAAAATATGAGCGCAAATATCATACTAAAATTACTAATACAGTACGAGTTTTGGTAAGTTATGTTTAATCCCAATATTTCCCAAGTCTAAGGGGGTGTATTCAATCATGATTTTGAAAGATTTCAATAGATTGTTTAAAGTTTATGGATTATGAAAAATCCATGGATTGTTTTAAGTCTCTGCAGAGTTTGGTAGATTCTAATGTATTTTATCAGCAGAATTTTATAAGATTTTGTCGGATTGTTTATAATCTATAGATTAAAAAATTTATAAATTTATACATTGTTGTAACATCAACTATTGTAATTAGCTATTAAAAAATATGTTTATGAAATCAATTAAAAAATTAAAAGTAACATAATAAAATAAAGATTTTTTTAAATAATCATTATTGTAATATATTTATTAGAATAAAATAATACTATGTATAGTGTTCATTATCATAAGCAATAAATATGTTTTTTCAAATAAAATAATTATTATCTCTCAAGTATTCTTCTTGTATGTCAAAACTCATGAATGAAAATAATATGATTTAGAAACATATTCAATTGTCAAATATTTTAAAAAGAGACTAATAATGCTTAGAAATGATAAAAATTTCACAATAAGGTTGGTTTGAATTGGATCAGGTGAATAAAACAAAGTAAAATTTGTACTAAATAGGACTAAAACATAATGACTTTCCTAATGTAGGACTTAAACTTTTTTATTCCCTAAATAGAACTTAATAATGACCTAGTGAGAGAAATAATGTCCAGTAATGACCAAAGGTCCTACATTGGGAAATAAAAATATATAGTCCTATATTGGGAAAGTCATTATATTTTAGTCCTATTTAGGTAAATTTTTTTCTAAAACAAAACCTTATTTGGGTTGTAATAAAAAAATAACCAATTTATAATGTAAATTTTTCTCAATTGAACAATAATTATTCAAATTATACTCCCCCGTCCCTAAATAAAGTTCCATTTTTGACTTTTTGAAGATTTAAGGGAGGGATATTTTGGTGTTGACTTTCCAAAAATACCCTTGATGTGATGTGTTAAAGTAAGATGTGATAGGTAGATTATTAGTAAAAAAGTATGATGTGATAGGTAGGGTATGAAAAAGTGAGGGGTAAAAGGATTTTTTTAAGGGAAAAAAGAAGTTTATTTAGGGATAAAAAAAACGAAAGAAAAACTTTATTTAAGGACGGAGGGAGTACAATTTAATTATTCTCCACGAAATGGGCAAAAATCTCATAATAATAATTTCACCAAATCACAACTTGTAAGCTTTTGCCAGCAAATAAATAAGAGGAAGAAACGTAAATTCGAGATGGCATTGGCGGCGGTCTTGAAAGGGCCTTAACCCTAGCGGCACCTCGCTGCAACCGCATCCCAAATTCGAGATGCAGTCGACATGGAGTTCGAGAGCAAGTGAGATCTCGCCGGATTCCGGCTAAAAATAGATATCTTATAAATGGAAAAAAGAGAGGGCATTTGCCTGTGTGAATTGCTGACTACCTGCACCAGCGGCGGGAGAAGGAGGCGGAGAAAATGGAGTAGGTGAAGAGTTTTCAAAATCTTCAACTTTTGGATGAGATTTGAGAAATTGATGGTTGTTATCTCTTTGGTAAACCCCCAGCCCAGCCCGAACATACCCCGTACTCTCGTCAATTGCATACTACAAGATTTAGTTGACTTTGAAGTCAAAATTTGAATCTAAAGTCAACTCAATCTTATGGCATACGATTGATGGAGGTGCAGAGGTGTATGTTTGGGCCAGGCCGGAGGTAGGGGATTTGTCGGGAGGATTTATGGGGTAGGAGCCATCGATTTTTCAAAAGGAGCATCGTAGATGCCCTAATTGGGCCTATTCTTTTAAACTTTGACTCTTAACTTCCAACTCTTTTAACCCCTAGTTTTCTTCCGGCTACTTTCAATTTTTTTCCAACTCTTTTCAGGTTCTTCTAATTGTCTCCAACAATACCTTTAAAAAAATATTTAGTTTTATTTTCCTTTATTATTATTATTATCATTATCTCACTAAAATACAAAAACTTTATTTAGTTTCACTATTTATTAAAAAGAAATTTACCTAAATAGAACTAAAACATAATTACTTTCCCAATATAGGATCATATTTTTTATTTTCCAATGTAGGACCTTTGGTCACAAGATTATTATTAAGTCCTATTTAGGGAATAAAAAAGTTTAAGTCCTACATTAGAAAAGTCATTATTTTTAAAAAAGTTAATTGTGTACTCAATAAAAATTTTAGTTACCATTATTTTAGCATAATAAAATTTTCCTAATAAAAAACAGAATAGGAAATTTTCGGAATTAAAAATAACTCAAATCCTTGTAAGCACTGACCCCTTACCAGAGTCCGAATAAATTGGCATCATTTTAATGCCTTTTTTCTTTTTCCACCCTTATTTTAGAATAGTGAAATTTTGTAATAAAAAGTAGGGAAATTTTTTGAAATAAATACAACTCAAACCATTGTAAGCATTGACCTCTAACTAGAATCTCAGGTTCCTTCGCTAGAAAAACAATTCAAGTTGTTTTGAGTTATTACTCAAAACTCTATTCTTTTGATATTAGAATTCTTATAAGTGATATATACGTTGTAATCATTACTTTGTTAGTAATTGTATTAGTAATTACTTTGTTAGTAATTACTAATACAAAATTAACATTGTTAATCTTGAGTTATTTTTGTAATTATTTTGGTATATAGAATGTGATGTAAGATTATATATTTTTGTTTGATCGAAACATCCTATCTTTATACTAGTATTACTTAAGTCCAGTTTTACTTTAAACTAAGATTAGCAAAAAGTATTGTTTTATTTGTCTTCTTATTTTTGTTACATGGAGTAGTGGCATACAACAAAAACAATTATATAATTGATATTGATTTTAAAAAGTAAAGAAAAATTGTGAGTCAAAAAAATTACAAATAGGATTTGAGATAAAATGTAATGGCATAAAATAAAATAAAAAGAGACAAAAATTTTAAAAATTAGAGTATACGGTTTTTAAATAAAATATAAAATTTATAAAAGAAAATAATTATTTTAACATTTGTATACGGTTTTTAAATAAAATATAAAATTTATAAAAGAAAATAATTATTTTAACATTTTTTTATGAGCTCTTTCAAAAAATTTCCAACTCTTTCCAATTTTTTCCAACTTTCTGTTTCTTTGAACTCCTAGCTTTTTCCAACTCCTAGTCTTGTATAAATATTACGATCGAGTACAATTTTTTGTTTATTAATTCACATGACAGTAAACTGTGTTCCAAAGGTTATAGAAAAAAGATTTCTCAATTTACTTGCATGACACTAAATTATGTTCCCAAAGTAATGGAAAAAAGAGTTATTTTTATATCTAAATTGATTGGGGGAAAATATGAATATTTTAAACTAAAACTATTCTGGAGCAATAATTACACTACTCCCTGCTACATTATGAAATAGAAAAAATGGCCTAAAAATGTGTAACAAAAATAAACTCGGATAACAAAGAATGCAACTAACAATTAAAATAGAACTAATAATAAAAAATACTCTATTCTTTAAAATTTCTTCCAGTTTTTCTAGTTTCTTAGATTATATAGTACTCCCTCCGTCCTAAAACTTTCTTCTCAGTTTGACTTTTCTCCATTTTTAATTTTTGGCTTTGACTTCAAATTTTACCCTCTTTAAAAAAGATTTTTTGAATTTTTTTTTGCAATCATTCAAAATATAGAGTTAGAAGATAATTGGTGTAAATACTTGAGGGTATTAATGTCTTTTGTCATCTTTTTTTCTAATGGGAAGGTAGTTTTAGGACGGAGAAAAAGAAGAAGTGGGAATTAAGTTTTAGGACGGAGGGAGTAGTTCTTTTCAGTTCGTTTATGTTTGTTCCGTTTTTTCCAATTTTTTCAAGTTTTTATAGTTTTTTTCAACATTCAACTCTTTTTTTTCTAACTCCAAAGAATAGGCTCTAAAACAATTAAAATTTGAAACAAAAGATGTTAGTGTGTAGTATATGCTAAGGGCTTTTTGCATCATTTATTCTTGAACTCTTTATGTTTAAGTGTGTTTCCTCTTAAACATTCAAAATTGCACCATTACTGTTAGAATTTCAGCGGGTCAAGAATAGCGGGCAAAATATCGGCTAAAATTAACCATTTGTATATAAAACCGGGATCCATTTTCTAATCCAAAAGCTTAANGCTAACTAGACCAGACTAGTTGCCACTTGAGAGGAAGTGTTGGAATTCTCCCATTGAAAAACAAAGAGAAATAACACTAGTGTGTGTGTGTATATATATATATATATATATATATATATATATATATATATATATATATATATATATATATATATATATATATATATATATATATATATACACACACACACTAGTGTTATTTCTCTTTGTTTTTCAATGGGAGAATTCCAACACTTCCTCTCAAGTGGCAACTAGTCTGGTCTAGTTAGCACTTGGACAAACATGTCTAACATCTCAATCTTTTATACTTATCTCACACAATAGGTGGTGCATTTTTAATCTCTTACACCCAACTCAACCCAAACCACATAGGGGTAACTCATATCACTAAACCCACGTCCAAACAACCAGGTACGTAGAATCGAATCCATGCCAGACTTACATCGATACCATGTTAAAATTTTGGTTGGCCAAGAACAACAGAGAGAGTGCTGGCTAAAATTACTCACTTCCATATAAAGTCGGGATCTGTTTTTTAACTCAAAAGCTTAAACTAATAGGTATAGCTTCATCACTCTATATATGCTACTATTATTTCTCTTTGTTTTCTAATGTGAGAATTCCAACAATTACTCATAATTTTTATAAAAAACTGCTACTCCCTCCGTTTTCAAAAACTCTTCATCTTTCATTTTTTTACTTCCAACAAAGCACTTCAACTTTCTATTAAAAAATCACTTTTACCCTTACTTTTTTATACACTACCTATCACATCATACTTTTTCTCTAATACTCAATGCATCACATCTTACTTTTACCCATCACATCAAGGACAAAATTGGAAGTCAACTACAATTTAACACTTCATTATTTTTACACAAAGTCAAAATAGAAACACTTTTATAAAACGGAGGAAGTATGTTTTTTACCCCAAATTTGTTATAAAGTACGTACTTTATATCCGAACTCTTTAAAAAAAATACATGCCCCTCAACTTTATAAAAAAGAAAAAACAAGTATATGTACTAAAAGTTTGAATGAGAGACATGTAAATTATGAAAACTTTGGTAATGGATTGAATGACGCGAAACCAACCTTATATACGCTAATGCTCCCAGTAATAATCCGTAAAGGAGATCAGAATTCTTATTTTTTACTTTTACGAAATTCTGAAAAAATGTTTAAAAATTATTTAAAAAAAGTGGTTAAATTTGGTTAAGAAGAGAGAAATTTCTTACCTACATTTTTTTGGGACATACAAAAAAAGAAAAGTGAGAGGATTTTTATGAGATGAAGGAATGAAGTACTTAATATATTTGAATTTGGTGAAAAGAAATCATCCAAAATATGAGTCAAATATAATCATTATTTCCAAAATAAGAGTGACATGTTTTATTCTTAAAATAAGACGTGCATTTCCAATGAGATAATGTAATATCGTATATTGACATTTCTTAGTCTTTTTGGTATTATATGTTAGAATTGTTCACATTATAAGTCTTATTTTGAGAAAAAAGATGAAGATCTTATTTTAATTTTTTCAGTACGTTTTATTTTTATTTAGTCTTTTCTTCCTTGGTGAATTCTTACATGTCATCATGTTATATTACTATGTTCCTTACATTGAAAACATTTTGAATTTTCAGAAGCTACAAGGGCACAGGGGTGTCACTGCACTATCCTTTAGCAGTCGCATGAAGGAGTTATACTCCTACTAAAGAAGAGACTCTAACAAAGAATAAAACAAAGCTTCAATTCGTATAAACCGTTGATTATGTTAAGCATTCCTATGTAATGTTTATCTCTAGCTTTCCTTGCTAAAAGACCTAATATATTCGAATGTTTACTTTTAAACATTTTAATTTTTTTCGATAAGAGGCGGCAGTTCACACATAAAATTCACTTAAACAATATCTTATATCATAGTTCAAATACTAAAGGGCCATTGACTATTTAATACTCCCCCCGTTCCATAAAACCCTTCTCTTTCATTTTTTTCAATTCCCTAAAACACTTCCACTTTTTATTAAAAAATCACTTTTACCCATCACATCAGGTGCAAAATTGGAAAGTCAACCAAAATTACACTTTCCTTATTTTGACTCAAAGTCAAAATAGGAAGTGTTTAAAGGAACGGGGGGAGTATATGTCAAGATTAGCACAAGACGTGACGTAGTATTTGATGTGGGAAAACTAAGTAGGTATATTAGCGATCTAGGTACGTGTAGTGGTAAGCTATGACGCCTAGTTAGTTAATACGCGTATAATACACATATTATACTTATTACGTACGTATAATACGCGTATTATACTCACGTATCCGCATGATTTTCAAAAATACTTTAAAATACACGTATATTTTATACTATACGTATAATTACCCTACGTATAGTATTAATAAATTTTTTTGTACAACAACAAATATTAATTTGTTCCAAAAAATATTTAAACAAAATACGAGTAATACTTTATATGAGTTATACATACAATACTCAATCAATTTGAAAAAATATATATACTATCTACGTTTGTAGAAATATAATTAGAACTGAACTTGAATGATTTGATTACACATAAATCCGCTATTTATAATAGCTACAAGACTATGACCTAATTACGAGCCCAACAAGAATGGGCCCGTTAACGACAAACCCTACTACATTCCTTAACACTCCCTCTCAAGTTGAGCATGAGATTAAGGAATGCACAACTTGGACAACTAAAACAAGACTAAGACTAAAAACAACTTGATAAATAACTTGAACTTGATCTGCTGTGACAACAACGAACGAAGGTGACCGGCCCTGCAAACGAACAATAAATTTTGATGACGAATGACTCCCACGCGGTGACACGGGGACAACTAACAAGCATCCCAAACTTGGAAGCCATGCTGCCGGACTGAGGTGCGACTATGCGACCAACCTCACAAACAAATATGTCGAACTGAGGCGCGACTATGCGACCAACCTCACAAACATGTCGAACATACAAATGGTTGCACTTGAACATACCAAATAACAACCAAACACAAAGTCGCCAATAACGTCAATCAAAACTGGCTCTGGTTGAAAACCTTCTTCGTGATGTTGGAGCACAGAATAAACAAATTCAAATAATCACTTTGGTAGACTAACAGTACGTGGCATGCCGATCAAAGATAGAATTGAGCAACAACAATAATTTGGGACTTTGGTGCCGACGGAACCTACCAAAAGCACTGACGGGGAAGACATCTTCAGCGGCGGCCAAACTTTGACTCTAGTCTAGGCAAATCTGAATTTAATAGCAGAACAAATACTCGAGACAATTTTTTTTTTGAAAACCTCGAGACAGATTTTGGTTGAGAGATTAGATATGTCACCGTCGCCGGACAAACCACCGGCAACGGCGACAACGGAAGCAACAGATTAGAGTAGAATAGGGTTTAGGTTCCCAGGTTGGCTCCGATACCATGTAGAAATATAATTAGAACTGAACTTGAATGATTTGATTACACATAAATCCGCTATTTATAATAGCTACAAGACTATGACCTAATTACGAGCCCAACAAGAATGAGCCCGTTAACGACAAACCCTACTACATTCCTTAACAACGTTCTACGAAGAATTTTACACTTTTTGTCACGTTCAAAAAAAGGCTTCACTCTTTTCCTTTTGTATGTCTCAAAAATTCATTTTCTTTTAGAAAGGAACGAGTAACTCACAACTCTTATTTGTTTTTTTCTAAATATATTCAAACTATAAAGTTTTTATTTTTAATATTTTTTAAAACTACGTACGTGAAAGTGAAATAAGGATATTTTTTCAAATGACGGGATTATATATATTTTTCAAATACATATGTTAAATAAATAGAGATTCTAATTTGAAAAAATCTATTGTAAGTATTTCATTTAAAATATTTTTGTATTTTGTTTATTTGCCCTAATATAAATTGATGACTATCAATCGATAAATATGTGTAAATTTGACGTATATATGATAATATATATAAACATATAATAAGACGTATTTTAAAAATAGAAAACGTTTAAAACGCGTACGTATCCGTATCCGTATGCCGAACGTTTAAAATCCTAACGTATTATACACGAACGTACGTATTTACGTATTATATGTTTGCCGTATACTACTAACTATGACTATGAGAATTGTATTCAGATAACAAAGGAAAATCATGGCATGTAGTTTGGTATACTCTGCTAATCTTCTGGTTCTAGAAGGACTTTCCGATGCAAGTTGAAAAACGAATATGGGAGCTTATTATTCCTCAGCTAGTGGATATGTATATCTACTTAAAGGAATAACTATCTTGTGGGATTCAAAGAAGAAAACTTGCATCCACATGTGAATCGTGGAATTTGAGTTTGTTGCTTTAACTACAATTGGTAATTAAAGAGGTTGAGTGGTTACAAAACATAATTTCGTTGTGACCCAAACTGATATCACCAATATCGATTAAATGTGACAGCGTTGCCACCTTGGCCAAAGCATAATGCCAAGTGCATATTGGTAAGCCAAGACAGTACACTTGCGTGTTAGACACAAGATTTGTGATTTAATCAAAACTAGAGTGGTATCAATAGAGTTAAGTTAGAACTCAATTTAGCCGACCATTTAATCTAAGGGTTAAGAAGAGATCTCGTACATAATCGACTATATATGGGAATGAGATTAAAATTCTATGTGAAATCGATCATGTTGAGATACTAAATTCCCAAATAACATGGCATTAGATGCTAAATTCAATGTGGAACGCTTAATATCTAGAGATTGAAACACATTAATTAACAACATCATCCCAAGGTATGTGTTCAGACTCGCAAGTTAAGGAGGTAAAAGTTTATCTTCTTAATGATTGTTTTGAAAATTTATATATGCGGGTACAAGGCTTAAAAGAATCACCTATATGAGTATATGTAGTTTAGCCACTTCATGAATATTAGACTTGAATTTTATATAGTCATTGAATGATAGGGACACAAAGCTAATAAAACACAATGACAGGTTTATAACAAAAGAGTATGTGAAATTTATATATATAATACCTTCAGTGTTTCAAATGAATAGCAAGGGTTCAATCCATTAATGTCACTTTGATATTCAAATATTTCGGAGGTGTAATATACTAATTAAGATGAAAATTCAATTGTCCCGACATATTCATTTATGAATAGGTTTGTCATTCTCTTATCTCAAGTTAAGTGAATCATAGATTACACTAAAATAGAGAGGTATGTTGACTATTTTAATGTCATCATTGGTAAGCCCAAGAAAATTGGCTTAGTAGGTAGCCACTATTTTTAGTAAGCATATTATTTTACTCTATTTTCTATCGTAAAAATATAAATTACTTATAATGTGAAAACTATACATTTAATATTCGGCTTGATGAGTAGGTCTCGTGAAAAGATGACCAATGGTATATTATTTTTTTAAAATTTGAACTTAAGTATAAAAAGTTAAAAACAAAATAGACATTACTATAGAATAAATAATTGAAAGGATTTTTATAATATAATAATAATAATATACATGCTACTCCTGTCCCTAACTATTTGTTCAGTTTTGATTTTTTCCGGTCAACCGTTTTCAACCTTTGACATATAATTAAATAAAATATATATTGTTTATTAATTACATAAAATAATATTTAGAAAATATTTTATATAGTTAATCTAATTAAACTAGTTTTGTATCAATATCTAATATTATTTATATTAAATTTGAAGTCAAACTTTACCAATTTTGACCGGAAAAAGTTAAAAGTAGACAAGTATTCTCTTTCTAATATTAAGTTGAAACTTGAAACCAAACCCCAACCCTGCAGTGTATACAATATACTCTGTACACACTTACGAGAAGAGAGGCAGAAACCGCACCGCGTCGCCACAAATTGATCGCCGAACAAGAGAAGCCAATGGCATCCTCCTCGTCGTCTTGATGTGATTTGTTTATTCATTCAATCTTTTAAAGTGAGTTTGTGGGCTTATTCTATAATTAGGAATCACATTTATCATTAGTTCATACAAATAGCTAATCGTATATTCTATTATATGGGACACTTGTTTGTGATCGGTGATGTTAGCCTAACTCTATTCTTGAAGGTCTGAATTTGATGAAGCATGAATTAGAAGTTTATTAATTGTTGAACACGTTCTAAATTATACTCCCTCCGTTCATAAATAAACTTCCTTTTTTGACTTTTTGAGGATTTAAGGAAGAGATATTTTTGTGTTGACTTTCTAAAAATACTCTTGATGTGATGTATAAAAGTAAGATGTGATATGTAGGAATGTAAACAAATCAAATATTTTAAATTCGATTCGCGATTTGTATTCGAATATGATGATTCGAATTCGCATTATTCAAATACAAATTCAAATATTATTTTTGTTTCGAATATTAATCAAATACAAATACAAATAGGGATATATTCGATTCGGATGATATTCGAATATTCGAATATATGTATATATACACAGACCATGTTTTCAACATCAAAAGTCAAGCAAAGTAATATACTCCCTCCGTCCTAAAACTTTCTTCCCAGTTTGACTTTTCCCCATTTTTAATTTTTGGTTTTGACTTCAAATTTTACTCTCCTTAAAAAAGATTTTTTGCAAATTTTTTTTTACAATCATTCAAAATATAGAGTTAGAAGATAATTGGTGTAAATAAATGAGGGTATTAATGTCATTTGTTATCCTTTTTTTTCTAATGGGAAGGTAGTTTTAGGACGGAGAAAAAAGGGAAA